GGGTTATGATAGATATTTGTACATTGATAGACCAAATATATATATTGTATCCTTTATCTATTGATATAAAATTTTGCGTCTATCTCTATTATTAAATGATTAAATATCAGTTGATGAATATCTAGTATAACCCCAATACTAAATATCATTGTAATATCTTTAGGTTAAAATTGAAGAAAAAATTCTACTTCTTTTTACTCCCTTCATATCTAAAGATAAAAGGATATAATTCGTGGTTCAAAAATTGACTTTTTATTAATACGATTCTTTATCCAAATAAAGATGATAATATTCTAGCCCAAATGTTAGTATCAACAATAATATTTCTTTGTTTTATTTATTCAGGTCGTGAATGCAATAAGCGACCTAGTGAACAAGTACAAGAGTGAGGAAACAAGCATTACCGTAACAGGCTATAGCTTGGGCGCAGCACTCGCGACTCTAACTGCAATGGACATAGTGGCCAACAAAAAATTAAGTCGTCCATGGTCACGGCCTTCGTATACGGCGGTCCGCGTGTCGGAACCACCAGTCTGAAGAACAGATTCACGCAACTCGGCAACGGTGGTTCTCTTCATCTTCTGCGCATTCAGAATTCCTCGGACCCCGTTCCGAAACTCCCAAACAACTCGGTCTACGACTACACCCATGTGGGAGAAGAGCTGATGGTCGACACCAGCAAGTCGGACTACATGAAATGCAAAGACTCCTGTACTGCTCACGATCTGAACGTGTATCTGCATGGAGTTGCGGGTGTACAAGAACAAGGGTTTCGGCTGGCGGTTGATCTTGATATTGCACTTATGGACAAATATTTGGACTGTTTGAATGACACTAAAATTCCTCCAAAATGGTGGGACGTGGACGAGAATCGCAGAAAAATGGTTCAAAAGGATGGCGGCCACTGGGAGAAGAAATAGGTCTTCTCGTTGCTTGGTTAAATAACATTTTACTAATATAATGCATATTGTAATATGAATAAGGTTCCTTAATAAATTAGCAGTGGGTTTCGTGTTTGTCCGCAAAGTTCATGCTTCCTAGGTGGAAGTTTGTGCATCGAAGATTTCCTATTTGTCCTAGTCCATATGTACATAAATAAAAGGCGTGGAGTTATTTGTGTACGAGCTATATGTTTTTTATTTTATTTTAGGGTAAATTACTCTAATTATCAATGAACTTTACTCTCCCTTCTATTTCATTTACTATACTTTAAATTCGTTCAATTTTCGTATTAAACTTACTACATTTTGGTTTTTTGTCATTCCGCCATTAAATAGTTAATATCGTTAAAACGATATCGTTTTAGAAAAACTAAATTTTCACCAAAATGATGTCATTTTGCATCTATATAACAACTAATTTATAACGTAGTTAGTGAGAAAACGACAGAGTGACTAAAAAAATCAAATGTATTAAGTTCGCTGAGAAAATTGAACGGATTTTAAAGTATAGGGAGTAAAATAGGAGAGAGAGAGAGAGTAAGTTTAGTGATAGTTGGTGTAATTTACCCTTTATTTTATATATGTAATATATGTAAGAAGAGAAGAAGATTTCATGAAAGGTATGTGAGGTTTTAGGGAAAACTACACAAATGATCACTAACGTTTGAGTACTTTTTTTTATTAAAATTTCAAAATTTATATATTAGTCACTAGCGTTATTCATTTGCAATGTCACAAGTTTTATACTCATTGGGAGCATTATCCTTTTTTCCCTCTAGAGTTCTTTCCCCCCCTATAGATAAGATTAAGATTAGATTTAGAAATTGTCAAAAAAAATCGATAATCAAAATTATAATTTAAATATAGTTTAGTGACCTTCGATTTACTTACCCAAAAAATTCAAAAAAAATCAGCCGCGCAACAGATTAAGGTTTTTTTGGCCCAATACCCCAAACAGATTAATTATTTGGGTATTGGGCCAACATGGACTTTATTTTTGAAACTACAACACTCTCTACAGTGAATACCGAACTCGTCACCTCAAAGTGATAAGTTCCTGAATATATTATTTTTAAATTGTCCATGTGAAGTGGGCTTCACGTGGGATATTATTTTTTTATTATTAAAATGACTCGTCACCTCGGCGTGACAAGTTCGTTTAAAAATATTTTTTATAATTAAAAAATAAAATAAAAAGTATAAATTTAAAAAATTAAGTGAAACTGGTCACGTCGAGGTGACGAGATTCTTTAAATTCAAAAAAGTAACCATTGGTAAATGACTATTGGGCAACGGTCATTGCCAACAGTCACTTGGAATTCATCACCTTGAGGTAACGAGTTCGACCGGATAAAATCTAAAAAAAATGAAAATTAAAAAAATGCAAAGTAATAAAATAATTAGAAAAAAATAAATATTTACAAAGAAAATTTATTATATTTCCTAAGTTCTAGACGATGTCGTGGAGTGGTCGAATGATAATGTCGCGGGGCTCGTCAAGTATGCCGAGGTCGTAGGCTTTGACTACCGTCGTCGTTGTCTTGCCGAGGAGGTGTGCTTAACACACTCTAGGACCCACATTCGAAATGCAGTGATGGATTTATGACATTTGAAGCTATCATTGCCATAACTGGTTCGACTTGGCTTCTACTTTGTTGAACATATGGGATATGCTCCCACTCACCTGCAACCGAATATTCTGTCGAAGATGCTTGAGTGTATTGCGATGCATCCTATGAACCTCCAACTTAACTCAGTTGAGTCTCGGCTGAAGTATGAAACGGAGGATAGAAACAGAAACTAGCATGAGATGCATAATAGTACTCTTCAATTGTAGATGCTGAAGCGAAAGAAGACGACGAAGATGCTTTCTTCTTGGACTTGGACTTGGCGCATGTGTCCTAATGATATTTCCATTCTCCCATCTCTTCAGATGTCGTGAGATATGGTTTCTCATTTGCTTCGTGATTTTGGGGATAGGGAGAATAGTCAAAATCTAGGTCCAGCAATGTAATGTCGAGACGCGGGGGAACGATTGTTCAAGTTGATTTCACGCGTCGAGGTATATAGCGTGTTTCACCGGTCAATTTTGATATGTTTCCCACGCGTATCAATTATATGGACTGCGTCCATATCAACCATCTACGTAGAAATCTACTGATGCGACGCAAACTATCGTATCACTCTATCAGTAACGTGCCACCCAACAATCGCATAATGCAATAACGACATCACGACACACCATAAATGAAACCCCTCAAAAAAATCCCCTTAGCAATAACTGGTTGATCTCCACATCAACATATGGAAGCCAAGAGAACTGTAAATATTCAATATCAAAATTAGTATATATAAAGTTAAAAATATTAAAAAAAATCGTATCTCATACCGCATATCGACCGACAATGTCCATCCTCATTCGTATATCTCGTCCAGTGGCACCCGCCAACTTCGTCTCGAATATTTTATGACGCCATCTAATTTTTTTTAAATAAAAAATATTATAAACAAATAAAAAAATTAAATTTATTTAAAATTATCATAAAAAATAATTATCTTGCAGCCAGAGGAAACTCGATAGGGGTTGTTGTAATTGGCGTCATAAACATGAATCGATTCCAAGCCCACGATTGTAGCAGTATCGGACAGTCAGTGACATCGACTTTCGACTTGGTTGGACAATTGTAGCCTTGCAAAGCTCTCAGTACAGAAAGGCATCGCCGAGCCCCAACTGGTATTACTGCACACAACAAAGTCTTCCAAATATCGCATATACTGAGTATGCACCAAATTATCGGATTTATCCGATAATAATACCCCTCTGATCAGTTGGAGAAGATATGCTCGAGACGCAAAAATAACCTCCTCCTTAGTAGACTTGTCCGCACTTGGAATTTCGATTCCAACCATGTTATCCGTACCTGAAAGTTGTCGATGACTTCGAATGGTGGCCATTTTCCCAAAACTTGGTAGACCTACGATGCGGGGTCATACATGTTCTGACTCACCACGGGGGCTCCATTCACATAAACATCAAATTGTTAAGCGAAGTCTTCCAAATTACTCGCCACTTCACCACTCAGGAAGTGGAACGTGTGTGTCTCAGGTCACAAACGTTCAACCAAAGCCTCAATCAAAGCCGGTTACAACTTGAAGGCACGCACAAATATGGGTCGGAAATAGACTGGATTGCTGCAGATATATCAAGGTCCACTAATGCGACTCTTCGTATGTCATCCAACGCTTACGAATATTCCATTCATCATCTGGTCGGCGTACGATCGACGAAACATGAACGTTATCCAAGTGCAACATATATTCTCGGGTTGCCATTTTTTGAGATTTTTAGAGAATATATGTTTTCTTGTATTTTTTTGGATTTAGGGTTTGATGAAAAACCAAAACTCTAAACTTCTATTTATAGTCTTACATCCAACGATTATAAACGACTAGTTGGGAAAAATACCCGGCCTTTCTCATCACCTCGAGGTGACGAGTTCTAAGTGACTGTTGGCCATGACCGTTGGCCATATAGTCGTGACCAGTGACTACTTTTTTGAATGTGAAAAAACTCGTCACCTCGACATGATGAGTTTCACTTATTTTTTTTTAATTTATACTTTTTATTTTATTTTTGTAATTTAAAAAATTATTTTTTAAACGAACTCATCATACCGAGGTGATAAGTTATTTTAATAATAATAAAATAATAGTCCACATAAGACCAACATCACGGGGATAATTTAAAAATAATATATTCAGTAATTTATTACCTCGAGATGACGAATTCGATATTTACTAGAGTGTCATGGTTTCCAAAATAAAATCAAAATTAAGCCAATACCCTAAATAATTAACTCCATGATAGAATTGGAAAAAAAACCACGGATTAATCTCTCCAGGGCCCCACCATGTGGGACGGTGATTGCTGATTGGCCTATTCTTTTTTTTTAAATCCATTTTACCCAAACCCTTTACGGCCCACTGGATCCACCACTATACCAATACGTTGCCGTTTTAAACCTTCCCCATCCTTTCACCCCCCCCTCTCCATATCACTGACAGACATAGTCATCTTCATTTTCACTCCTTTGAATCTTGTCTGTAACCGAAAGCTGAAGGCAAAATAAGCTTCTTTGTTTTAGGCAACAACCTGATTAAGATCCGTTTTAGTATAAATCGGGTGATCGGGGTGCATTTTTCTCTTAGTTAATTCCATTTTTAAGAAGGAACTTAGAAATAGAAGCTTTGGATCAAAGCATCCAAGTTTTCTGTTTTTCAAATAAAAAATTCCACTGTGGGTATAAATAATTGAGGACGGGAAGAGAGTTGTGATGAACGGAATGGGCAGACAGGGGAGGATATCTGGTGCGTCAGGGTTGCAAGTGCACCATCAGAGACAATACTCTGATAACTTCTTGGAAACGACGTCGAATGGAAGATGGCTTCAGTCTGCCGGCCTTCAGCATCTTCATTCTTCTAACAACTCTATTCCTCCTCTTCAGGTCCTCACGCTTTTTTTTATAGATTTTTTTTTTCATGTTTTTGTTCCGGATATTGTGCAGATAACACAAAATGAAAATTTGTATCCACTTACACGTACTTCTTTTGGTATAAACGGAAAGTGTGGAATTTTTTAGATCTATAATTACGTGATTTTTGGTCTTAATGATAAGAGAAAATTGCGATACAAAAGTCCCCTTTTTTGGCACTAAAATAATTTATTTGTTTTTTAGATTCCATTTGGTTGGAACATAAATGGGGTTTTATTCTTTTTATGGATAATTTCCTTTTTGTATATCTATAATCAGTTTCCAAGGGGAAATAATGAAAAGAGCTAGAAGTAAAAGAGAAATTTTGTGTTTATCTGTTTAAATTGTTATGCTCGATTGACGTTCTACTTCGAAGATTACAAAGTAATGCTGGGAGGTTTTGATTAGAGGATTGACTTCTGGATCTTTATGCATCCATGTTCAATACAATTTGGTTATTATATCGAACTTTGAATGATTGATTGTGTTATTTTGCTGCTCGACTTGAGAGCAGGATGATGCATTTTATGGCGGTAGAGATGGAGGAGGACAAGGATCTAGAATTTATAGGAACGTGCAAAGGGGTTTCAATATGGGGAATGAATTTTTCACTGAACCTATGAGTCCTCCGGTTAGTTCACGGCCGTCGAGCCAGAGGAAGAACGGTGAAGAATCACCCAATGAGTTCAGTCCTGGTCTCTTAGATTTGCATTCTTTTGATACAGAGCTTTTACCTCAGGTTGGTCATTCACCATTTCTTTAACTTCAGTGGGTTTATTTTTCACGTCTACTATTGATGGACTAAATATCAGTAATATAAATTATTGTTTGGTGATAGAAGTAAGCTATTTGAGTGAATTCAATTTTCCCTTGTAGCAATTTTGGTTGATTCCTACGGTATGTTAACAACTTATTTTGATTTCTGTCACATGCACTTCGTTCAACCCATAGTTACATAAATCGCTCAATAGCTCACGATCTACATACTGTACGCTGCGATCCAAAACGCGGTACGAACGCATTCCAGGTCGTTCCAAAATCGCCGGAGACGAAAAAAGTTGAAGCTTTCTTCATAGATCTACGTTGATAGACCCATTTTTAGGCGAAACTAACCTTAGATCTGAAACAAGGGTGAGGAAACGCTTTGGGTGACATCTCTCTTTTATTTCTGACGTCGGCGTACGGTGTCGGCCGTTGATGACGCGGCGGAAAACCATCGGAATCTGGGCGCCGGTTGTATCTCCCTCTCTCTCTATCTCTCAAAAATGAGAAATGAAACAAAATGAAAATAAGCCGTTTGGCTTATATATATATATATATATATATATATATATTAAGCAAAACACAATCGTTTTGGCTTTTCCCCATTTCTGTGTTTCTGGTTAAGAGTAAATATTATTTAAATCCTTGTTTTTTTTGTGTTATTTCAGTTATTAAGGGACTTTTAATTTCTTTTATTTTATTCTTACTATTTATAGTTACTTATAAAATTTGATGTAGAAAAATAGCAACCTAAGAAACTGGTACATCGTACCGGAGTGATCCGAAATGAGTCTACCCCTCGTACCGAATTTTAGGGACCTAGCGAATTGCAATCATGTTCCCGTACCGGAGCGTACTGCGATCCATGTGACTATGGTTCAACCCATACACCTCTTTGCAGTTTGCCCATAAATTCAAAGTTGCAGTGAAATTGAAAGATACTTGTACTTTTGTTTTCTCTAGAAGTATGCAATGTAGAATTTTGAGATTCAACTGGATGAGTATTTGAACTGATGCTGGATGTGTAAAAATGTAATTGACGTATTTTTTTCTGTTGCCAAGGCATTGGAAAATAAAAAAATTATTCAGGAGTAATTCAATTTTTATACTTGTTTATGGTAATGATTTTTTTTTATTGGTGACAGATGCCTGTTCCCAACCTGTATAATGGTCATTCTCTCTATAATCCAGTTCGAGGCAGAAGCTTTGACGACTCTGAACCCTATATTTCAAATAACAAACAAACAAGTAGGGCTGGTGGTGTGCTAGAGAATGGCCTACTCAAAAGCTTCACGGCAGACAAAGAGAAGGTCAATTCAGTTGCAAAGATCAAAGTTGTGGTATGTCTTTGTTCTGCTGATTACCTTTGACTATCTCATCATAATTTGCTCTCTTTTCAACCTAAAGGAATTGCAACAGCAACACAAGCAGTAGATGCTGGTTACTAGCTTGTGATTCATGCCTGTTATCATCTATATATCTTACATCAAGCTACTTCCACCACTAAGAGTTTCTATGGGTTTCTGATTGCAGGTGCGCAAGAGACCTCTCAATAAAAAGGAGTTGGCAAAGAATGAGGAAGATATCATAGAGACCCTTTCCAATTCCCTAGTAGTGCATGAGACTAAACTTAAGGTAACAAGGTCACGAAGAAGCATAGGGATCCAAAATGAAACCAGAAAATCTCAATGTGTATTCCCCAATTTTATGCCTGAAGTAACAAAGGAAAATGCAAATGGAACCAATGACATGCAGTTTTCATATTAATTATTTTAAGCAGGAGTTTTGTACACCAATAAGAAATCTCAAAGGAACCTTGTTACTTCTATTTTAAGTGTCAAATGATTATTTCGGTCCCCGGAGGAAGTATCATATGCTCTTTATGCCATGACATAGCACATTGAAAAACCTATAGTATTTTCTCGTGTTCATTTATTAATTGTTTTTTTAGACATTCCAACCATTCATCTAATCTAGTAGCATAGGAGTATCAGTCTATCCTCATACTACATATATTGGCATGTTTAATTCTTGAAATTTTGTAGGTTGACCTTACGGAATACTTGGAGAAGCATGAATTTGTTTTTGATGCAGTGCTGAATGAGGAGGTATCAAATGATGAGGTGAGTAGATGATCTGAACTTATTAGTGGATAAGGTTAGAATATATTACAGGATATGAATTTCCTAGAATGGTTGTTTCCTCACTCTGTTTTGGCTTCATTTTTCTTTCTGTAGGTCTATCGTGAGACGGTGGAGCCCATAGTTCCTATAATTTTTCAACGCACTAAAGCCACGTGTTTTGCATATGGCCAAACAGGTGAGTAACTGTCACCAATGTTAGATGGATACTTTGTTGAAGTTTGTTGCATGACCCAAAATTTGGATTTAGTCATTTAGTGTAACATTTCTCTAGTTTTAAATTGTTCTGAATGTGTTATTCTCAGAAATTTTATTAGCATAATTTTGTAGTTATTTATGAGGATGTGTTTTCTAAAGCGTTGGTCATTATTTTTTCCCCATCATCGGTGAAGCTGGAGGAGGTTTCTTTTTTGCTGTGAATTTTTCTTGTTTGAGACGAAATTATAATCTGCCTTCTGCATCAATTCTTCTCTTATTTCTGAATTACATATTTAAGCCATCTTGCACTTACAGGTCTTTCTCTTGTTCAGGCAGTGGAAAAACCTATACTATGAAGCCGCTTCCTCTTAGAGCCGCTAGGGATATTTTGAGGTTGATGCACCATACCTACAGGAACCAAGGGTTTCAGTTGTTTGTAAGCTTCTTCGAGATATATGGAGGAAAATTGTATGATCTTCTCGGTGATAATAGGAAGTAAGCTGTTAATTGTTACACGCATTCATCTTTTCTGGTCGGTGGTATTGTTTCTAATTCTCTGAAACCCAACCTTTCTTTCTGCAGAAAACTTTGCATGCGAGAGGATGGGAAGCAGCAAGTTTGTATTGTGGGTCTGCAAGAGTACGTAGTATCCGATGTAGAGACTATTAAGGAGCTTATCGAGAAAGGAAATGCCACAAGAAGTACTGGTACCACAGGCGCAAATGAGGAATCATCCCGATCTCATGCCATACTTCAGCTTGCCATCAAGAGTTCTGTTGATGGCAATGGGTCAAAGCCTCCCCGTCTTGTTGGCAAGATCTCCTTTATAGATCTGGCTGGAAGTGAACGGGGTGCAGATACTACAGATAATGATAAACAGACAAGGTACTGCTCATCTTTTAAATTGCAAAATGACCATGGATATGGGGCAGATTAAATAACGGAGCTTGATATAAAGAATAAATGACAATATTTTGGAGATAGTTATGCCAAATAGTATGTTTCTGGTTCATCTCGAAATTTAATGTCATGCAGTTGTCTTAGTTGTTTGGCCTCTATATTAATTTTAGTCAATAATTAATATCAAATCCAAACATTTCAAAGTAAAAGTGTGTTTAAGTAGTCTAAATACACCCCTACTCCTTGTTTTTGCATTTAAAGTTTGGTTCGAGTTCATGGTTTCAGATCTTGCATACCAAATATTTTTCCTTGTGGACAAACATCGGATAGGTACAAATTTAGTTTTGCTGAATGTGCTTGTTTAATTAACCTTTTTTAATGCAGAATGGAAGGTGCAGAGATCAACAAGAGCTTGCTTGCCTTGAAGGAGTGCATAAGAGCTCTAGACAACGATCAGGGCCACATTCCTTTCAGAGGCAGCAAACTGACAGAGGTTCTAAGAGACTCATTTATGGAAATTCTCGCACGGTTATGATATCTTGCATTTCACCAAGTTCAGGATCGTGTGAACACACTCTGAACACCTTAAGATATGCAGATAGGTAAATTAGCTTGCCTAATTATAAAAAATGTTTAGGCATCTGTTTTTAAAGTTATTCCGCTTTCGGTTTTAATTGTCTTCTTTCATGCATTTGACTTATAGTCGTAAAAATTTCATCTAGGGTGAAGAGCCTTTCAAAAGGGGGAAACCCGAAGAAAGATGTTTTATCTTCGACCTTAAATCTGAAAGAATCAACTGCTCAGCCCTTGTCTTCGGTTTTATCAACTGCATCATCATTTTTGGAGGATGATATTAATGATACATGGCCTGACGAAAACGAAAGAGATGATTTTGATGCATCAGAAGACACCTATGAGCAGCAGGAGAAACCGATGTGGAAGCAAAATAGGAAGCGAGATCAATACAGTTTCTCTACATTGGAGAACAAGATACCGAAATCTAACGGTCAGACGAAGTGGAAAGAACCAGTAAGATCCAATTTCAAGCATTCAAATTCAGATGATGATTTGAATGCTCTCCTACAGGTAATTTTTATGAGAGAATTATTATCATTAAGAGACATACAAAGTAACTTGTTTGAATGTTAAAAGCCAAAGTGATGCTTTTACAGGAAGAAGAGGATCTTGTAAATGCTCACAGGAAACAGGTAGAGGAAACTATGAATATTGTCAAAGAGGTAAACCTGAGTTCTTAACACATTCTTTGCCTTCTTGAGCTGCTTTCATGATTTCATTAAAGTTTAATGTAACATTTCCAGGAGATGAACCTGCTGGTTGAAGCAGATCGACCCGGAAACCAGCTGGACGATTATATATTGAAATTGGCTGCTCTTCTCTCGCAGAAGGCTTCTGGCATCACCCAGTTACAAACCCGGTTGGCGCATTTCCAGAAGCGCTTAAAGGAGTATAACGTGTTAGTATCTTCATCAGGCTATTGATCAAGTAGTTGAAGATAGAAGTCAAATTATTCATTTGATCTCTTCCTAAATACATTGCTGGATTGGTTTGGTATTGCTAGATTCTATTGAAATATTTTAAAATAATAAATTGATAATATATGATGATTTTTCGATCTGCAGCGTATCGAATATGAAATCTCGACATAAAAGTTCAATGGTTTATTGGTAACTAGAATAGAAACAAGAACTAAATGCTAAAGCAGCATAAAAATGCAGGCAAGAACACTACTCAGAATAGTCTGGGATGAGAAAAACATGAACATGATTTCTACATCCTAAATGATCCAAATCCTTGCTTGGAACCATCAATGCTGGTGGAGGCCATTGGAACGGAGAATTCGGAGTACATTTCTATGAGGAACTTGTCGACAATCGAAAGGTCCACGGGACGTTTAAGCCTGGAATAATAATGGATTGCCTCTTCTACATCCAGTACATGTTCCATGTCACCAACATCCATCATCTCCAATTCCTTCATCTTTTTCACCAATAATGCATGGCTTCCCACCTTTGTTTCATCCAATTTCCCTTCATTTTGCATTTCGATCGTCGCCGGACTCGTATCTACAAAGCTCATCAAGCTCCATCTACTTTCATCTTCTACCCTAGGTATCTCTTTCAATGTCATGACATCGTTCTTTCTCATCATTGCCTCTTCTACGCCTTCCCGGTCAGTAAAATAGTTGGCAGAGGATCGATGTTCCGGGAGCTAAATTCTCTGCTGCACCTGGTGGAAGTTAAGGGATTTGGATAGCTTTTGGTATCATATGAAGAAAGATTTAAGGCTCTCGACTGCTACGTGGAACAAGTAGTAATGTAAAGTGAGGGATAGGTTTGGTGTCTCTATGTGCAAGTGTTCAACTAAAGAGAAAAGCTAAATGGACCCCGAACCTGCAATTTCCTTTTCTACAGTTGCCTACTCTTTGTCCCTTTGCTTCCTATTTTTTCCTTTGCCACTCGATTTTTTCTGAATTATGATTTGCAAAGAAGGAAAATGATGGCATTGGAGACTCAAAGAGTGCTTGAATAATGCAAATTAAAGAAATAGAGGTCGAGTCAAACAACAGGGACGTAGTAGGAGTTCAATTTTTTAGGGAAATTTTATAAGGACTATATAAAAGTTATACCATTTTAAAGACGAATGCGTGGTTGTTCCAACGAAGTTAGTTTCGCGCTGGTTCCAACCGTATTAGCCGGTGTGCGTCACTTTAGTAGTAAATGGGCATTAAATTATGAATAATTTTTTATGATAAGGTTGAATATGATGCATGAATTTTTTTTGAATAAAATATACAAATGGGTCACTAAAACTAGGATTATGTAATCTGTTTTATCATTGAAGTTCTGAAAGTTACTAAATGGTCATTAAACTTATCAAATTGTTACAAAATGGTCACTACTCATTATAAAATAGTGATAAATTTTAATAAATTTAAAGATCATTTTGTAAAAAAAATGCTGAAATTTAACAACTATTTTATTATTATTTGAAAATTTTAACAATTATTTTGTAATTTTCAAAAACTTCAATGACCAAAAAAATATTTCAATCTAAAGATTGGATCCGTCTAAACTTGCAACAACCGGAGAGATTTGCAAAGATACCGGAAGGCTGGGACATTTTATTTGGATCTATTCTATGGTCATTATGGCTAAACCGAAACACACGCATTTTCAACCCCGGACGTACACAAATGGAATCAGTATTGGAGCATAGCAGAAGGCTTCAAAACGAGAGTTACGCAGCAAATAAGATAATCTGGAGTGGTATACGTGGGAAGAAGAACGTGAACGGAGAGCAAGTAAAATGGACGCCACCACCGCCGGGGTGGGTCAAGTTGAATACCGATGGTGCAAGAACCTTGAATGAAGGATTAACGTCATATGGAGTACTCCGAGGAAGCTCGGGTGATTGGATAATAGGTTTTTCAACATGCATAGCTATATGCACTATTGTGTAAGCTGAATTATGGGGGCGTTTAGGTGAAAGAAAAATCACACTTGAAACAGACAACCTAGAAGTAGTCCAGCTATTACAGGCTAGAGAAATTCAAAGTCAAATCTTTAACTCTAATGCATGCAATCAAGGAACTTTTGGAGAAGGATTGGACGGTGGAAATCAAGCACATTCCAAGGATAGGAAACCTGATCGCAGACCGCCTGGCCAAAAGCGCAAAGTTTGATTCAATGGATTGTTCCGTATACCTGGACCCTCCGATAGAGGTTAAACAGCTAATCCAGCTCGAGCGTAATACTCCAGATCAAGAATAATGCTTAGAGGAGTTTAATTACATTAGTTTACCAAAAAAATTATTATACTCTTACATTTGTGAAATTTATGGATGATATCATACAAGTAATTAGTATTTTGTATTAGACAGTCATTCAATATTTTTATAAACTTTTTAAAAATATTACATATTTTCATAAATATTGAAAATTGTAAAATGATACGTTAAAATAAACCTATTACCAACTTCAATTTCGTGTCCTGGATTGAGGTCTTGTGAATCTATAATCTGAATATTTTATTGCATCCCTTTAGAAAAGAAAGCATTCATAAAGGGTGTGAATGGTCCTTACCTGTAGTGAGGGATGATATTTAAGGGTTCCAAAGTCCTTGCACCAGCCCAGAACAGGTTGCAAAGTAACTAAGAAAATTCCATTCAGAGCAGCAAAACACCTTCACTCTTCCCTCATAAATATGCTTTCGCATTCGAACCTCTGATCGGCTTCTACTTACTGCCTTTGTTCTTGTTGAATCTGAAGAACTGATGCAGCAGCTTGTGAACTTCACCATAATTGTTAGTTGCGGAAACGAGACTATCTTTTATCCACTGCGGGAGCTTGCTGCTCGGATGAGAAAAGCTTCTTTTCGAAGAATCAGATGCATAACGGATGTCCACCAATAAAATTGCAGCATAGTCATTTACATGCCGAATCGCTCTGCCTAAGATCAATCAAATAAGGGTTACAAACATAAAGACGCAGTTCAGGGTAGAAATCAAGATTGACATAAGCAAGACATAACAGAAATATGTAGTTACACTTATAGGCACCATTCAAACAGAAATCCTACAGCTATAAATCTTGGTCGGTCTTAGAGAAATCAGGCCAATAGTTTTCTGCCAACGTGAACACAGACCTATGAGCCTAGGGAATCCGGTTTCAACTCCAAAACTATTTAGCGAGTATAATAACTATACTAGAAACCATATCCTTAGAGTGCTTTGGACTTACCAATTGATTGATTTACAGCTTTCATGCAGAGATTTTCATAATATTCTCTTCCCCTGTGCCTACAACTCCTTAGAATGCTGAAACCAGACTGAACGTCTCCCCCGTAAAATTCTTCATTAGTTGAAAGTTTTAGGCTTTTCGTAAAACTTGCATCACCCAAACCTTCAATATGCTTCACCCTTTCCAACAATTCAATGTCAGAAGGGCTAGGATATGGAAGTCCAACCATGACTATGCATCGCCCCATCCCATCACTGAAGTTGATGCCTTCCGATATCTTGCCACCAACCACGGCTAGGAGTATTGCACCACTTTTAGGGGCAGGAGTATCAATTGCTTCCTTGTATTCATTAAGAATGGCCTCTATCTCTGTACTTTTTCTAGGTTCTCTGAAGACATGCTTTCTCTTCATGATTCTTTCAAGTATTCCTGAGGTTTTCCATGCATCGTAGACCTGTCCTTCGTACTCAAATGAAGAAAAGAACACAACAATTCCTTCGGGGACAACTGTTGCCAAATTGCAAAGCAAGAGCCCTAGTTCCTCTATCTGTATAATCAAGACCAACAATAGAAAATAGTAATGAAGTCAATTAAGTGGAGTTTGATCATAATCAAATTGAGAAAAGAAAAAGATTCAATAAAGAGTTGGTTACAAAATTCATTGCAACTACATATTATGAGTGCAATACACTCACCATAGTTGATGAACCTCTCAAACCATAGCTAAAATCAAAAGATCTGCCTGATGGTCCACGAGATACTGCAAGTGGCAATATACTCTCTGGAGGAACAATATGGCTACATGAAAAGAAATGGAGTTGATCTGCTGGTAACCATGGAAAAAGTCGCTCTCTTGTTTCTTCTATTGGTTGCAGAGTTCCCCCTGCCAGTACAACAGCATGTGCTTCATGCACAACCTGCAGACAGTTGCGATATAGGATTATCATGATGATGTCGAGTATCCAAAATACAGACTTTAACACCATGTATTGATCTCAAACAAAGGAAATATGGGGAATAAATACAATCACTGAGATTATTGAACTCTTGGAATAACCTGAGAAAAAATCTTTTCACCGGTGAGCATAACATATTTCAGGTAAGCTCCTTGTCCTGAAGATGTTGGTCTCTTCCTTGATATTATTATCCTTCCATCACCATCATTATTTGTCAGCGAAAGTAACATAGTTGCCAATGCCCGAAAGCCAGATAGAATGCTACCAGAATCACAAGTTTCCCCATTTTCCTTGACCACTGAACCTTTCTGCAAGGTAGTCGTTTTATCTCCATACCCGCTAACCTGGAGCCATAATATTGTGAGATGTGACCATAAAATTGGGAGAAGTAAAAGAGAAAAGGTGCTGAGCTCATAATTTTACAATATAAGAAAAAAATATTGTATGGACACAAATCTACCTTGTGCATGATGTTGCTTTCCTTTATATACTGAAGCAGCTTGATTAAATTAATGTTGTCAATATTGAGGGAGAATAAAAAATCATTTATAGCCATGGAAGAATCAAATTTTTTGTTTCCTCCAACACCTCTTTCGGCATCTGGGCAAGAGTTTAAACAATTCCCATTCTTATCATTGAGTAGAACTCGGAGGAAAGCTCGGGTAAGAACCAAAAGTGTTTGAATATATCTTCGATTTCCAGGTCCCAAGAGACTGCAGAATCTTCCAAAATACTTCTCTATGTGGCTATGTACATTCTCCAACTGAAAAGAAACATAGAATTACTCGATTTTAGTTTTAGATGAACTAGAATCGACAAACATCAAAAGCTAGTATAACTGAGTAAAACAATATGTTACAGAAGATTCAAATTCCTTCTAAAATGAAAAGGTATCTAATTTGTAACTGGTTTCTCCAAGTTTTCATCATGCAGGTTCCAAACTGTAAATGGAATATTTGAGAAACAAAGAAATCGAAATATCAAGATCAAACATTATTTTTCAAGTACCAATGACAATACCAGGGAAAATTATATACCTGTGACAAAGTAATTTTCGCATCATACATGCTAATGAGAGAATCAGCCAGATTGTGAGCTTCATCTATTATAACAACATTATTCTTCAGATTCAACCCCAAAATTTCACGTGATGCTTTTGAAAGAAGTGATTGATATGGAAGAACTACTAGATCAGCTGAGGGGATCATACTTCGGGAGCCATAATATGGACATGTTCCTATATTTCTACCAAGTTGAACAAGATCTTCAATGTCCAATGCTCCTTGTTGAGAAACTTCATTCCTAAATTGTTTTTGAAGTTTATGTTTTCTAAGCATTGGGCATCCAGAGGAAGCCTTGGTTTGCCTTATCTTTCCCTCTGTGCCTAATTTCTGCAAAATTAAAAAGCATACTATAATTAGTCGAGAAAACCCTCTTTTCCAAGCAACACATATCTCATTTGTTAGTCTTGGATTAGGATGTGAGCTAACTTAAAAGCAAGACTAAACGTCTCCAAAGTAAATGGACCTTGGTACACAATGTCTTAATTTCGTTAATGACATAATTAAACATTGATAAGTAACAAGTTATGGGGCTGCAACTGCTAACAGACTTAAGATACTATCCTTGATAAAGTGCATTACAGCTAAACTGTGGAGTTAGAACTGGGATATTCAAGTACCTTCATTTTAGATGTTTCCTCCTTTTTCTTATTCTTTTGAAGCTCCAAGCATCGCTCATTAATTTGAGTAGATATTCCTAGTCTCAAAACCTCTGAAATGTAAACCTTCACACGGTCAGGAAAATATGAAAATAGAAGTAAATAAAATAATGCTAAATTACAAAATTTTATATACCTTCATTGATGCAAAAGTTCTTCCTTGATCCCAATGAGACAACATTCATTTCATCGGCAAAAACAGTCTTTCTTAGCTCTTTAACAAACTGTGAAAGTTGTGAATGCGTACGACTACAAAAATAAACCTTCAATTTCACTTCCTCCTCCTCCTCAGACTCGTCCTCCTCCTCATCACTTGAAGAATTAACAGGAAACTTGTCGCTTTTCCTCTTCGAATTCGAACTTCCAATACCACCTTCCTCTTCACTTTCATATTCTTCCAGCAGAAACTCTTCATCAACCAAATCCCCCGCATCAATTTTCTTTACAGATCTTTTGCCGTCTTCAAAATCACGTGAGAACAAATCCCTGTGACTATCTTTATTCATTACTTTTCCAGGTTTTGCTAATGCAAAACTATTTTTCTTTTTCTTGCTCTTCTTCTCATCAAGTTGGTTGTCTTTGTCCACGGCAAAGTTTTTGAGCCAATCAGGTTCATCATCTGAACCGATTTGACCATTATGTTCCTGCTTTTCATCAGAATTAACCCTTTCTTCAGACTTCTGTTTTTGTCTCTGATCAATCACCCATTGCAAACCACTGCAGATGATGCTCAGTGTTTTGCCGGTTCCTAATTTTACAAGAAATTTTCAAATTAATTTGTTGTTTTGTTCTGTCATAAAGTAGGAATCAGGGCACGTACAAAAACTAAATCAATTATTCAAAGTTTACATAAACAGGGGAAACTCGATTTAAGTTAAATACAAAATATTTTTAGCTTTTCTATTTTTCCAACTTCAATATTCCAATATTCTCTCCTCTCCATTTTCTCAGCAACCAAACATCAAGAAAACAGTCGAGTTAGAGAGAGAAAGAGAAAGTACCGGTAGGGCTTTCGAGCATGGAGACGCGCCTTTATCTAAAGAGTGATAAAGTGCATTCATGAAATCCATCTGGATTGAATATGGCTTGTACGGGAATGCTGGAAATTTTTCTCTCCTTCGTTTTCCATTTCTCTCTTTCTCGACTGAAACTTGGGCGCCTTCGCCTCTTCCTTTACCCAGGAGGATTTTATGTTTTTGCTCTCTATATGACTTTCCCGCCAAATTATACAGAAAAAAGAAATAGGTTTTCCCGTTCAAAAGACCTTTCCGGGCCTCTCAATTTCAAAACTGAGTAAATCGATTCCTCTCAAATAGGAAGACAATTTAAGTCGACAATTTTAAAAGTAAGTAACTCAAAAAATAATCACGATTTTAGTATTTTTCGTCAATTTTAATCATCAATATTTAAGGATTATTTCAATTTATGCTTGATTATATAAAATTCAACATATAATTTATACATTTTATAAATATTGAGAGTTAAATTTATTAAATTTCTATATTTAAAATCAAAATGACAAACAATAAAAGCATTATAAGGATTGAAGAATAAATTTATTATTGCATTAATCAAAATTATATAAAATTGAAAGAAAATATTAATGTCGTGATTAATTGTCCACTTTCAAAATTGACAAATCGAATGCTCTTTGATTTGATAAGGATCAATTTGTCTAATTTCAAAACAATAAAGGTATTTAAGTGGTCTTTTTATCTTTGTTTTAAAAAAATAATTTATATTTTCTCAACCATGTTGAATGCTCAGACCTAAGTCCATTTTGAATGAACAAATTAGGTCATTCTCTGGTGTTAGCCCAAAAGCGTAAAAAGAACCCAGAGATAGGCCCATCCGGGAAATCAATCTTCAACTCAATCCTGAAAAACCCTTTTGTGCCATAATTCTTTCTTCCTCCGCCGCTCTCTTTCTTGTTCAGAGCCCGAAGAAGAACGTCTTAGGGTTCTACCGCATCAACTCCAATGGTATTACAGAAAAAATGCAGCACTCTCTTCTTTTCCCTTTTTATTTGTTCTTCTTCCTTTGATCCGATTGAATGTTCACAAATGAAATGAATATTGTAATTTGCAGGGAAAAGGAACCGGTAGTTTCGGTAAACGAAGGAACAAGACCCACACTCTTTGCGTGAGATGCGGCCGCCGTAGCTTTCATCTCCAGAAGAGCCGTTGTGGTGCTTGTGCTTTCCCTGCTGCCCGTAAGAGGAAATGTAAGTGCCCCTCTGTTCCGTTCATTTCTAGATCTTTATTGTTTTCTTTTTTCTTTTTGGTTACTTGCTTCATGGTATTAGTTCTGCTTTCAAATCTGGAATTCTTTGTGTTATCTGATTTATTTTCTGGGTTTTGTTTTTTCATCTACTCAGTGTATTAAAGTTAAATCACTTTGATAATATTATGAATCGTGGATTGTAGTTTTCTAGTTTGCTTTTCCACTTGAATGAATCTCTTCTAATTAGAATTCATTACCCTTAATCAAAGTATGAACTTGTATACTTCTAAACTTTTTACTTGCATAATACTGCCGGCTGTCATATATAATGGTTAGATTATTTGGGAGTTGTAATGTTTCAAGAAATGTGCTTATATTCTTAACCGTAAATCGCAGTAATAAGGGTGCAGTCTCAGGTCTTGCCTGTTTATTATGTTTTAATGTTAAGTATGTCTGTAAATGGACTGTAATTAGGTACATCAATTAATGTTAAACCTAAGGGGAACTTGTTTATTGTGGGAAACAGATAACTGGAGTGTTAAGGCAATCCGAAGAAAGACCAGTGGGACTGGTAGGATGAGGTATCTTCGCCATGTTCCTCGCAGGTTCAAGACGGGTTTCAGAGAGGGTATGTGAATGCAAATTTCATTATTTGAACATATTCTGTTCTAGTTTAAAGTTAATTTCCCCTAGCAACATTTTGTTCATAATTTTTCATTTGTGCTGGATCATGATCTAGGTACTGAAGCAGCACCGAGGAAGAAGGTTGCAGCTGCTTCTTCAGCTTAAATTCCAATGAGTTTATTTAGAATAATCCATCTTTTTAAGAAGTTTTGTTGGGAACATTACTTGAGAAAGTGTCGTTTTATTATATTGGATGCGTATTGTTTTTAGTTTCTATTTTTATGGTGTTACGGCATGGATTCAAATTATAAAATCCCATTTTCAGCTATTAAATAATAGTCAAGTACTTGAAATTCTGTAATCGATAATAGTGGTTGGTGGATTCAAAACCTGTTGCTTGGACACAGGTTCATGAGTTAATTGTCAACGTTGGATTATAGTTTAGAAGAATTTGGTATGATTCTTGAACAGTTCTTCTCAATAGATTTTGATGGCATGTAAAGCAAAAATAGTTTTCTTTGTTTATTTGATGGTAGATTAATGCACCTTGGTGATAATAGTATTCGTTTTTATGTCTGAGAATGAAAAAGATTTATGAAGTAAATGATTTAAAGTTCAACCAAACAACACAAATAAATAATATATAAAACAAAATATCACTTAACGACGGAAAAGATGAACATTAATGCTAACATAAAAATAAATATAACAATGATAATTTGTTGAGAAAGTGATATTATCGTAACATAAATATATCTACAATAATTGCTGACTTTTATTTTGTTAATTAAGTAACAATTTAATGAACCTAGTGATTGCACATGTTTAAGGGAATAAAGATAGCGAGAAAAAAGGAAAATGAACCACAGCAAGAAGCTTTCAATTATAATATATTCACTGTTCTCAAGGTTTACTTACAATTTTCCTCCAAGAGTGATGAATCATTTTTTTCTCAAGGAAAAGAGAGACTAATTACAGAACTTAAACCTGTGTATGAAGTGGAAGATATTGGCACTGTAAAATATGGATGAAGTAAAATATCTTCTCAACGCAATGAATCAAAGGCCAATGCCAAACATGAGTCTCAACCATCTACTTGAGGTGAAATACAAGGCCAAACCTCTCTATTATTCGAACTCCACATTCTAAACCTCAACTAGTTTGCTTTATATTCACCAAACTTGTGTTTTTCTTCATGCAACTGCTTGAATACATAATCCATCTCTGGAATTGCAGACAACAGCAATAGCTCGATAACATCATACACCAGCAGCTTCAAACAGACACTAGACTGCAACAAGAGTGAACAGACGCATAACTAGATGCATCGATCATGTTCTACCCAACTCGATGTTAATTATTAAACTGTTTTTTTTTCTAAAAACAAGACCCAGTTCCGCATTAAAAGAAAAAAAAAAGTATATAGATGTCCTAAATTACCTGAATAAAGAAATAGAGATCTCTGGCGCATTGTTCATACTCCTTGTGACCAAAAAGACCCACTATAGCAGCAGGGGCTTTGTCTGTATCAGGAAAATTGAGTTAATTGACTTTCTTTAAACTTTCAGTCCAGTGACATTAGATAAGGTGCAATGCAGATTATAGTAAGAAACATTAGTGATAAACAAACTACCAATCATTAGCTCATAAACGAATTTTGCACGACGTTCTGCTTCCAGTCGCTGCTCATCACTCGTTATAGGTGAAGAAGTTTCAGGAGATTGTGTATGTGTTGAAGCTTGGGATGGGCTACTGGGTGGTGGCGGACGTTGTCGCCTTGGATGTTTGGTTATGAATATTCCATCAGGCCAAAGTATCTGCTTGGAAATTGCAGTCATTCTGTATTAGGAGTACATAGAAGCACAAGAAAATACAGAGAATCTCCAACATGGCAAAAACATATGAGACAAAGGATGTAAATATAAATTTCAAGTCAGAAAAGACATTGAACAAAATCCCAATTGATCTTGCTCTTAAAACCATATTTTGGACAGATCTAGACTAGCTGTGATGAAACTCCACTCCAAAGGCTGAGCAAATAACATTGGGGTTGGGCTTCCCCTTCCATCCTCTTGCAAACTTGGTCAAGAGGAGATATCTTTTAGGTCTCTAATGCCACTAAACAAATTTACGGATAAATTTGCTACACTTTTAAAGGGGGGAAAATCAAAGATCAAATGACTACCTGCTCAACCCGCTTGATTCCTGAAGCAACAACTGACCCCTTGCGCAGCAGCCGGATCTTTTCTATCAGCCAGTCATCAAAAGCATCACCCATTCCAAGTTGTAGAATTTGCTTGGCCACCCAAAAAGCCTTACGCCTGAAATACACAAGCAAAGTACGTAAATATTGTGCATCTAGTTAGAACTAGATGTGACAATGTTACGCTTACATTAGGGTGGATGAATTCCCATTTTAAGGAGGCAAAATCAAAATATAATGCTAACGTAAGTGAATAGTCCTATAGCCATTTATGTACCTGACCCATCCACCATCCTGGACATGGAAAATGACATCCACCAAATCTAATATAGGAGCAGTTAAATTTGGTGGCACCCACCGCACAGAAGGCTACGTCTGTTAAAATCCATTGAGGACCATAGAAGCATTTCAAATCAACTTGCAAATAAGTATGAAACATGAAAGTTTTACATTTGATTAAGAATGGTTATGGCAGCCAAGTTAATTCTGGAGACAGTTATAGACGAAAGAAAACACTTGACATTAAATTGATTACCTCGGTAGGAAGGGTTGGGTACGTGGCAGAATCAAGAAGCAACTCAGAAGCATCTTCCACTATTTTGTTCTCTCTTGCTTGAACATTTTCCTTTGAGTTCCTTATCAACAAAGTATTTCCCACTCTAGCATCCGAATCACTGCCAGTATCTTCAGAGGACTTGCACCATGCTTCAGTGGGAAGTTTTGATGGATAAGTCAACACATTTTTTGCATTTCTTAATCCATCAGTGCAAAATTAGGTTTTATTTGCAATGAAGGTTCGTTGCTTTCAGTGTCCAACTGTTGTCTCCTGGAAGTTAAGGGACCCATCAGAGGCCCCATAACATTTGAAGCCTTTTTGCCCTTTTCAGATGGATTATCATCAAGGCCAAGTAGAAAGATCCCAAGTAACACAAAATATAATGATCTGATGACAGTTTGAGGAAAAAGCAAACTTTGCAAACAACTTATAAATTATGTTTGAATTACCTGATAATGTTTCGACAATAGAAAAAGAACTCGAGAATACATATATCTGCATTGCAAAAATATATATAATAAGAGATTGTGCTTAACTGGGAAAATCTGCGACTCCCCCACCACCACCCCCAAAAAAAAAACAATTTCTCTTCCCAGAAAAGAAAGGAAAAAGAACAGTTTTTTCCCTAGAGGAAAAGGAAAATAGCTCACCTGGGAATTGTCACAACCGTATTCCGGTTAGGCCCGAGATTAGGCTTCGACTTAAAAAATGTAGATTGGGAGTCGTCACCGATCATTTACTTTACGAAAAGTGGATTGATCGGATACCTTATTTCTTACTTGATCTGCGTCTTACCAGTGATATGTCGGATCCGAGAGTCGGTTACGGTCAATGAAGGATTAGCACCCTTGAACCGCCCTTTCAGTACTATGTAATTCCAGTTGTCTTTAATTAAGAAAGTTGAAAGTTTAAATTGAAAGGTAAAATAACGATCCAAAACTTACATTTGATGATTGAAAATGTACCCTTAAGAAAGTAAAAACCATGTTAGATAAAATGGTAAGAAATAATAATTAAATTAAAATGAAAAGAACAAATTAAGTAAAATGATAAATGAAGAAAGCAAATATAAAATAATAAGTAAAAAACAATAAAAAAAATAATAAAAAAAAAAAAAAAATAAATAAAACAAATAAACAAACAATAATAACAAAGTACGAATAATATATATATATAAATAAAAATTAAATTATATAAATTAATAATTAAATGACGAAAAGAATATACACATATAATGGTAAAAAAAATAAAGATAACAATATATATATATAGTAACAATAATAATAAATAAATGAAAATAAATACATATAATATTAACTAAAAAAATAGTAATCATATAAATATAAATAAAAAAGTAAGTATATATATAACGTTAGGAAAATATAGTAAAAAACATAGTAAATAAGTAAACATATAAAAAATAATATATATATATATATATAATAGAAAAATATAATATAACGCAAAGAAAATGAAAAAAAAATATATAAAATAAATAAATAATATATATATATATACATATAAATAATAAGAGTTAAATTAAATGAAAAATGAATTAGAGGTCAAATTAAAAGTCAATCGAAGAAAAAAAACGACAAAAACCGGATTCACACGACCCGTTATAAAATCCGATAGTTTTTCAAAAACAAGCCTCGGGACTAGATCTACAAAAATAGATCTCGAAAACGCCCTCGTTCATCGGTCAAAAACACTTCTCTCAGTTTTCTTTCGAATCAAAACACAGCAAGGGTAAGGAAAAATAACATGCGAAGGTATGAACTTTACCTTTCAAAATATAAATGCTTCGAAAAATGGCTACGAGTTGCTTGTAATTTTTGCTTGGTATTTCGTATATCCTCTTCCGAATGTTACAATAGTGAATTACATGACTATTTAAGCTTGTGGTCCTATCTTTAGGAGTTTAAATAATAGTAACTCTATCATATTTTTAGGAGTTTGAATCCTAGCAAAATTCTATCCTATTTTTAGGAGTTTGAATCCTAGTAGGACGAAAAGGTGTGTTGACAGTTGCCCCTCTTTGCCTATAGTCGTGTAACAGGGATAGGACAAAGATTAAAAGACACACTTTTCATTCAGTGGAGTTGAAAATTGACTCTGATGTTTCAGTAACTCCCTGTCGAATTGAGTTACGGATGACTCATCCATCGTGAAGTCGAGTTCATCTTGAAATGATATGAAATTGAAGCTGTAGTTCGGAATTTGAATCAACATGTGGCTTCCCGTTGCCCTTCGGTCTTCTTCTCGGTTTAAAGACCTTGGATTGGAATTGAACTCAAAAATATTCATTGACAGATAGCTTTTCTTACTTAAGCTATGCTGCTTGAAAATGGTTGCTTGTCACTCAGGCACGGCTAACACAGGTCCTCTTCTCGACTTGAAAACCTCGACTGCAGCCGGAAAGTAGTGCGATTGATGTGTCATCGAGCTTAATGGAATCGAACTCGACAATTTTGATGGCAGATAACCCTTCTAGCCTTGAGTTATGTTGTAAATGATGTGCCTTGGAGCTGAGCGTAGTCGAACTCGAAGGTCTTTGTTGACAGATAATCCTTCTTTGAGTTGAATATCCCTCGTCGTGAAGTTGAAATCCAATCTAAAGATGGATGATGCTTGTTTGCACGATTCCCTTCGTCGTGAAGTTGAAACCGCGGGTGGCCCCTTCGTCGTGAAGTTGAGCCTGGAATTGGATATCATTCGTCGTGAAGTTGAAATCCAAGTAAATAGCATTGTTCCGAGTCCAATATCATCCGTCATGAAGTTGAAATTGGCTCTGGAATCGGGAAATTGTTTGTTGACAACCAGTCGTCCCTTCGTTGTGAAGTTGAACTTGTGTTGTCTCGAGTCCAATATCCTTTGTTGTGAAGTTGAAATTGGCTCCGAAATTGAAAAATTATTTGTTGACAACCAGCGGTCCCTTCGTCGTGAAGTTGAACTTGCGTTGTCTCGAGTCCAATATCCTTCGCTGTGAAGTTGAAATTGGCTCTGAAATTCTCTTCGTCGTGAAGTTGAACTTGCGTTGTCTGGAGTCCAATATCCTTCGCTGTGAAGTTGAAATTGGCTCCGAAATTGGGAAATTGTTTGTTGACAACCAGCGGTCCCTTCGTTGTGAAGTTGAACTTGCGTTGTCTGGAGTCCAATATCTTTCGCTGTGAAGTTGAAATTGGCTTCGAAATTGGGAAATTATTTGTTGAAAACCAGCGGTCCCTTTGTCGTGAATTTGAACTTGCGTTGTCTCAAGTCCAATATCCTTTGCTGTGAAGTTGAAATTGGCTCTGAAATTGGGTATTTGTTTGTTGACAACCAGCGGTCCCTTCGTCGTGAAGTTGAACTTGCGTTGTCTGGAGTCCAATATCCTTCATTGTGAAGTTGAAATTGGCTCTGAAATTGAGAAGTTGTTTGTTGACAACCAGCGGTCCTTTCGTCGTGAAGTTGAACTTGCATTGTCTGGAGACCAATATCCTTCGCTGTGAAGTTGAAATTGGCTCTGAAATTGGGAAGTTGTTTATTGACAACTAGCGGTCCCTTCGTCATGAAGTTGAACTTGCGTTGTCTTGAGTCCAATATCCTTCGCTGTGAAGTTGAAATTGGCTCTGAAATTGGGAAATTGTTTATTGACAACCAGCGGTCCCTTCGTCGTGAAGTTGAACTTGCGTTGTCTGGAGCAATATCCTTCGCTGTGAAGTTGAAATTGGCTCTGAAATTGGGAGTTGTTTATTGACAACTAGCGGTCCCTTCGTCATGAAGTTGAACTTGCGTTGTCTTGAGTCCAATATCCTTCGCTGTGAAGTTGAAATTGGCTCTGAAATTGGGAAATTGTTTATTGACAACCAGCGGTCCCTTCGTCGTGAAGTTGAACTTGCGTTGTCTGGAGTCCAATATCCTTCGTTGTGAAGTTGAAATTGGCTCTGAAATTGAGAAGTTGTTTGTTGACAACTAGCGGTCCCTTCGTCTTGAAGTTGAACTTGTGTTGTCTGGAGTCCAATATCCTTCGCTGTGAAGTTGAAATTGGCTCTGAATTTGGGAAGTTGTTTGTTGACAACCAGCCGTCCCTTCGTTGTGAAGTTGAACTTGTGTTGTCTCGAGTGGTACGATATCCTCCGTCGTGGAGTTGAAATCACGGATAGCCACTTCGTTGTGAAGTTGAGCCTTGACTTGAATATCCTTCGTCGTGAAGTTGAAATCCAAGTATTGTATGTTGCGGGTGGACACAATTCCCTTCGCCGTGAAGTTGAAACCGTAGAGACCCCTTTATTGTGAAGTTTGGCTTCGAGCTAGATATCCTTCGTCGTGAAGTTGAAATCCACTCTCGAGCAAATTATGTTGTTTCGAGAGAAACTTTCAATCTGTTGAGTTGGTCGAAGTATAGCTTCTTGCTGCTGAGTTAAGCAACCAACATGAATCTTTAAAGGTTCTTTTGAATCGAGTATCATTCGTCTTAAAGTTGAAACTTGACTCTAAAAGCTGCAAAAAATTATGTATGTGGAAAATGATAAATATGATGCTCTAAAATGTATGCATAAGATGCATATAACATGAATTGGTTATATTTTATCTCCTGAAAAAGGTTTGATAATTTGCATTAGGATGTTGAATCCCCAAATTATGCCCCAATATCCAAAAATGCCCCAATATTTGATGTTGAATCTTCAAATATGCCTCAAATGTTCCTCATTTTTTGCTTCAGCATTGATTCTGAGCATGAGTTTTGTGTTTAAGAGTCACATGTCATTTACCAAGATCCACTCTAGAGAGACTGTCTTGTTTGAAAAAAAATGTTTCTCTTTCTCTTTTATTTTCAAAGTTATGAAAATATCAATAAAGAGTTTCAAAAAATGTTTAATCAAAAGTTTTGAAAATATTGTCTCTTTCACGGTTTTACAATTGAGATGAATCGTAAAACTAGAGTTCATTGGATATCAAATGTTTAATTACAATGTTAATCCTTCAATAAATTATAGCTATTTGACACGTGCCAAAATCAAAGCTATCTTTGGGAAATGGTTAAGTAAGGAAAAGATAAAAAGGTCTCAGGTTATTGTGTTTGGTCAAAGGTTTGGCATTTGATGCTCAAAGGTTTGATGGGGTGATTGCATGCTCCTCTACTGGAAGTGTTCTCTGACTCCCAGCTTTCATAGTCACATTTGGATTATGCGATGCCTTATCAAGGAATTTGTGTGATCGCCTCAGTTGCAAAATTTTTATATTCGAGCCACCTTTTCAGGTTTTCAACTCGAATCCTCCTTTGGTTTCAAGACGTTATTCAGGATTTACGTCTTGAACC